GATCCTGTTCTGCTGTTCAGTAACAGATCTCTGACCTAACTCCATATTTGCTCCACATTCCTTAACACCTTCATTTTGCAAAAACCTCGCAGCAGACTTAAAATTAACAACACCAATTGCCATTTGCAGGGAATTGTCCAAATTTTCTTTGACTGCATAAATGTTTGCTAACTTCTCTCCTCAAGGTCTGGCTTTAATTTTTTTGACTTTTGGCCCTGAAGCTTAGATTTCTGCTGATAGTGGAGTCTACATGCCCTTTGACAAATTTGATTGAAACAGTCCTTCACCTTCAGAATCTGAGGGAATGGAACCCTAGTGTTTCTTTTACATTGATGGGATGTTGGCATCACTAACAATGCCAGCATCTGCTGCCTATCACTAGTTGCCTCTTGAACTGAGTGGCTTGTTAGGGCCATCACAGGTGTCAAGGGCCTGCATTTGGTCACCGAAAGAACTGCAGATGCTGGAAATGAGAAACTAAACCAAAAATTGCTGGAAAAGCTCAGCAGGTCTGGCAGCATCTGTGGAGAGAAATCAGAGTTAACGTTTCAGGTCCGGGGACCCTTCCTCAGAACTGATGAGGTCAGTGAACATCAGTTCTGAGGAATGATAGCTGCATCTGAAACGTTGACTCTTGATTTCTCTCCACAAATGCCGCCAGACCTGCTGAGCTTTTCCAGCAATTTCCGTTTCAGTTCTGCATTTGATCGCTCCTAATTACCCCTTGAATTGAGAGGCTTGGCTAGGGCCACTGCAGGTGGCAGATAAAGAGTCGACCACATCTCGGTGGGTCTGGAGTGACATATAGGCCCCAACCAGGATAAGGATGGGGCAGATTTCCCTTCCCTATGGGGGCATGAGTGAACCCAGATGTGGGCTTGGTAGATAAACGATTCACGGTCACCGTGGCTGAGAAGTCCAGGTTGTGTAATCCTGCTTTATCATTAAAGCCGTGCTGGCATTTGGTCGGGGTGGGGGTCGGGGTCCGGGTCCAAGCCGACTGATATCCTTCTATCGGGTTGTGGGGTGGGCAGCCAGTGGCCTGGGCCCTGGGGCTCAGCTCTAAAGCGCAAAGGCCCCAAAGCACCGGCTCGGGGTTTGTCTTCAGGCCGCTACCTAGCCCCCTCAACCCCCCCAACGAACCGGTCCCTGAACCGGCTGGGGATTTGTTTCCCCACCTTGTCATTTTCCCTCCTCTTCCCCGGTTCCTCACCTCACCGTTCGCCGTCGCCGGCCTCAGCGGCACCTCACTACCCTGCGCCGCCATCTTCCCAGCGCCCGCAACAACCAACTGCGGGATCTCGCCCCTCCCACCCTGTACCTCGGGGTCAAACGAGAATCTCGCGCATGACCTCTCGTCGGGGGGAAAAAGTACCCACGTGAGGAATAAGATCGCGCCATCATTGATCCTGGCGGAAACCCCCGCCCCCAACCAGCTTCGGTTGTATGCTTGCCAGTATCAGTCATAAATAAGAAATAGCACAGTGTGGAGCTGGAGGTGTACAGTGGACCAGGCAGCATCAGAGGAGCAGGAAAGTAGTCGGGATCCTTCTTCAGACTGATGATAGCTGATGGAAACGTCGGTCCAAACAGTCCTCACTGACTCCAGCATCGGCAGTTCTTACTATCTCTGAGCCAGTACTAGTCAGCCCATTACAGCACGGAAACAGACCGAAAGAACAGCGGATGCTGTAAATCTGCAATAAAAGCAGAAGTTGCTGGAAAAGCTCAGCAGGTCTGGCAGCATCTGTCTCTGGAAGTTCATTCCACACAAATTCTTTTATGATTCAGATTTTAAAAAAGTATGACAGACACTGAGTAAAAAATTGAAATGAAAACAGAGGGTGCTGGAGAAATTCTGCAGCATCTGTGCACAGAAATAAAGTACTGGGGTAACTACAAGTCTGGCAGCACCTGTGTAGAGAGAAACAGAGTTAACCTTTCAAGTCCAGCATGACTTCATTGTTCTGAGGAAGGGTCACTCCACCCGAAATATTAACTCTGATTTCTCTTCACAGATGCTGCCAGACCTGCTGAACTTTTCCAGCAATTTCTGTTTTTGTTTCTAATTTGCAGCATCCGCAGTTCTTTTGGTTTTAATGATTTCTTTAGAGCTCTGAGAAAGGATCATTGGACTCAAAATGTTAACTCTGTTCCTCTCTCCAGAATGTGGAGGTGCCAGTGTTGGACTGGGATGGACAAAGTCAGAAGTCACATGGCACCACGTTATAGTCCAACAGGTTTATTTGAAATCACAAGCTTTCTGAGCACTGGTCCGTCAGGTGAAGTCTCTCTCCACAAATGCTGCAAGAGAAGAAAACAAGTTAAGCATTTGAATTTCAGTGGGCAAAGTTCTTGTTTTCTAAATGATTAAAGTAATTAAGGTTGAGTTCACCTCGCTGCTGTTCATCACAGATTTTGAATTGGTGACATATTAAAGGTGTGAATAAATGTCTGATCACATGCTATCTGGAATTGTTAGTGCATGATTTTGTAAAGGTTGAATAACCTGTAGTTGAGCAACTTTGCTTGAGCTTTCACCATTTAAATGCCTATCCTTAATTGTCCCTTGAGAAAGTGCAGCAGTGAGATGAATTGGTGAACTGCTGCAGTTCATGTGCTGTAGGTACATCTATCATGTCAGTGAGTTCCAGGATTTTGACCCAACAGTGTGTAATGGCTGATATAGTTCCAAGTCAGAATGATGAGTGGCTTAGAGGGGAACATGCTGATGATATGTGCTTTGTTCCCACGCACCTGCTGGTCTTGTCAGCATAGCTAACCAAATTTCACATGATTTCTCTGCTTTTCAACCCACTCGCTTGGGAACTTTAAGCTGTGTATGTACTTGTTTTTATTAGTTTGCATCAATAACTTTTTTTTAGTGATCCCCTACATTCCATTCCTTCCAAGGACAAAGGCAAAATACTGCAGATGCTAGAAATCTGAAACAGACACAGAGCATGCTGAAGAAACTCAGCAGGTCTGGTAGCTGTGAGGCAGCAGTGCTCACCACTAAGCCACCATACTGCCCAATGGTGGAGCAGTCCCACAGTATGGCACTGGAGATCTTTATACTGAGGTCCTAGAGTGGGACTTGAACCTGGAACCTTGTAACTTAGAGGTGAGAGTGCAACCACCTGAGCTAAGTCTGACAATATTCCCTTCTGCTATGATGCATGTTTGTCTAATTTGAAATTTATTGTCACTTACTCAGCCAGTCTGCAATTTTATTAATGTATTTTATTGCATACCACCAATCCCTTTCTTAAATTTTGATAAAGTACCAATTCGAGTTCAAATCACTTACGTAAACAGTGAATAACAGTGGTTCCTTGCACCTTCTCCCTTACAGCCTGAAAAATACCTTTAACCCCTCCTTTTTAAAATCTCTGTCCGAAAGCTGGTCTAACCCCAGCACTGCAATATGCCCCATTGGTAAGATGGTAGGTCCCAGAATCTACCCCAGTTGGAACAAGGATCAAAACATATGCTTTTGGTAACAATTAGATCTACATTGGGTAGCCTCTACCAAGGACTGATAGTAACCGTGACAACATACATTATCTGTTGTAATCTGGTGCTATGACCTGGCTCCAATATTGTTTCCATTCTAATTGGCTGACCGAGAAACTCTCTAGTCTTACTACCTGCCATTGGCACCTGATGGAAAGACTTACATGTTGACACTCAACCTGCTTGGTCGCATTCTGAAAGCATCTTCCTTGGCCTGGGGTGGTACTTGGAACCCAGAGATTCAAGAGGCAGGGATGTTACCCATTGCAAGACAATAACCCCAACTCTCTGATTCTGTTTTATAGTCCATTTGTTATCAGTTTGGCCCTAGATCCCCCATGTCTATTTAAACCTTAGCTGCTGAGGAGGCTTAGAGCAATTATTGCAACTTATGAGGTTTCACTGTGAAATTTCAGTTAACAGCTTACAATAAAACCCACATATACTACATCCCAAAGCTAATTAAGTTCGTTGTTCAATGTGAATGACAATCCTTGAGTACAATCCTTTCTTTCTAGTATTAGCAAGAACTGCATAACATTAAGTTATACCCAATATCACTTTGGAATGAACAAAGACAAAATACCAAAAAATTTAGAAAATTCTTCTGCACACATTGTAACCTTTCATTTCACAGCTATGTGATTCTTTTAAAAATTCACTGTGTATGAGGAATGAACTGCCAAAATGTGGTGGATGCAGGCACAATTACAACATTTAAAAGATATTTGGATAAGTACATGAATATGAAAGGTTTGGAGGGAAATGGGCCAAGCACAGATAGGTGGGACTAGTTTAGTTTGGGAACATGGTCAGCATGGACTAGGTGGATCAAAGGGTCAGGTTCCATGCTGTATGAGGTATAACACTCACAGAAAGTGGTATCTCTCATAAGGTAACACTTATTGCTCATCCGTAATTGTCCTTGAGAAGGTGGCGATGAGCCACTTCCTTAAACTGCTGCAATCATCTGTCATAGGGACACACACTGCCATCAGGGACTAAGGTCCAGGATTTTGACACGATGACAGTGAAGGAACGGCTGATATAGTTCCACGTCAGGACGGAGTGTGGCTTGGAAGGAAATCTACAGGGTCTGGTGTGCCTCAGCATCTGCTGCTCTTGTCCTTCTCGGTGGTAGAGGCCACATTTTTAAGTTGATCTTCAGGTCGTGGTGAGCCCCGCCTTCAATATGGTTTGCTTGCTTGACCAATTCAATTAAGAATCAACCACTCAGTAGATCTGGAGTCAAGCATAGGTTAGGGAACATAAGGGCGTCAGATTTCCTTTCCTAAAGGCATTAGCAAACCAGATAGAATTTTATGACAATCGATGACATATTCGTGATCATCATTATTAGCCTTTAATCCCCCTTCCAGATTTATATAACTGAAATTCGTCAACTGCTGTGGTGGGATTTGAACTAATGTCCCAACCATCAGTCCTGGATACTAGTCCAGTTACATAACCATTATGTTACTGCATTCTCACACATGAAATTTTTATTAATTTATTAGTGTGACCATTCCAATCTAGTTCATTGCATTGTATTTACATCCTGTGGCTTAACTCATTTAATTTACAATCTTGCACTATTATGGAAACACATTTCAAAAATCCAACTGTTGATTTTTAAGGCCAGCTCTTGTTGCTATCACGGCAAGTCTTTCAACTTTTGTGACCCAAACTTCTGTTGATTGAATCTACTGAAAGCTGCTAGTTGCTTGGTGTTTGAATTCCTGAGCAGTTCTAACTGCCTTTGCCCTCTTCGCAATAGATACTCAATGTGCATAACGTCAGTCCTGGGTATTTGGCAGTTTTTGCGAAATTCACTGCAAACCAGAGGCAAAAATCCTGGTTTCTCCCGGGCAGCTCGGAGGAATTGTTTGTAAAGGCTTAAGACTTGTTTCTGTAGTTTGCTGTGTCTAACCATGGTGTCAAAACAGGATCAGCCTGGATCTGTTAAAAGAGTAAAATCAATGTTATGGCACTTCCTTTATTTAATTTCCAACCAAAATGATTCATCAACATCAAGCCTACACTTAACAGTAAGTTCCTGGGGAGTGTTGTTGAACAAACAGACCTTGGCATGCAGGTTCCTAGTTCCTTGAAAGTGGAGTCCCAGGTAGACAGGATAGTGAAGGCGTTTGGTACACTTGCCGTTATTGGTTAGTGCATTGAGTAAAGGAGTTGGGAGGACATCTCGACTATACAAGACGTTGTTAGGCCACTTTTGCAATATTGTGTTCAATTCTGGTCTCCCTGCTGTAGGAAAGATGCTGTGAAACTTGCAAGGATTGAGAAAAGATTTACAAGGATTTTGTCAGGGTTGGAGAGTTTGAGATTTAAGGAAAGAGTGAATAGACTGGGGCTATTTTCCCTGAAGACTAAGGAGTGACCTTACAGAAGTTTATAAAATCATGAGCAGCATGGATAGTGTGAATAGCTAAGGTGTTTTCAAAAGGAGTCCAAAACTAGAGGGCATAGGTTTAAGGTGAGAGGGGAAAGATGTAAAAAGGACCTAAGGGGAAACCCTTTTCACACAGAGGGTGGTGCGTGTATGGAATGAGCTGCCAGAGGAAGTGGTAGAGGCTGGTACAATTACAACATTTGAAAGGCATCTGGATGGGTACATGAATAGGAAGGGTTTAGAGGGATATGGGCCAAATGCTGGCAAATGGGACCAAATTAATTCAGGATATCTGCTGTATATCTCCATAACTCCAAACTTACAACTGTTCTGAAAAATTACTCTTACTGTCGGTCAAAACTTGAGCGTTGCTTGAAAAAAAAAAATTTTGTTGAAGTTTTTTTGTCTCGCACTCGTCAGGAGGCCTAAGCCTGTTCTACATTCGATAAAATCATGGTTGATTTGATTGTGACCTCAACACTACTTTCCTGCCTATTCCCTGACACCCTTAGACAAGAATCTACCAATTTCTGCCTGAAAAATGTTCCATGACCCTGCCCTCTCCACTCTCAGTGGAAGAGGATTCGTCAGATTCATGAGTCGCCGAAAAATTTCTCCTCATTTTAGTTTAAATGGCAGACTCCTTATTTTTGAATCGCGCTTCCCACTTCTAATCTCTCGCACGAGCAATACATCCTTTCAGCATTTAACCTGTGAAGGCCTCTCGGGTTTTTGTGTATTTTAATTTTTAAAAGTCTCTGTACAGGGTATAAATTTCATTGCGAAGGAAAGCCAGAAGTGAGGTAATCTAGCTCAACAGACACCAGTGTTTACATTACAGGTGGGAAAACAACTTTAGCACTTTAACAGAGGCTGCACTGATGATATTTCCCAGCAGGGTAACGAAACGTATGCGGAATAACAAACCAGCTTGGCGAGCCAACCAACTACAACATCCACAACCCGAGCTACAAATCTACTCTAAAACCTTTTTAAAAACGTATTTACTTGTGGGTTGTGGGCATCGCTGGCTGGCCAGCATTCATTGCCCATCCCTAGTTGCCCTTGAGAAGGTGGTGATGAGCTGCAGTCCACCTGCTGTAGGTTGATCCACAATGCTATTAGGGAGGGAATTCTAGGATTCTGACCCAGCAATACTGAAGGAATTTTGATCTATTTCCAAGTCAGGATGGTGAGTGGCTTCGAGGTGAACGTGCAGTTGGTGGTGTTCCCATGTATCTGCTGCCCTTGTTGTTCTAGACTGAAGTGATCGTGGGTTTGGAAGATACTGTCTAAGGATCTTTGGTGAATTTCTGGATTGAGGAAAGATGGTGGTACAGTGGCAATGTCATTAGACTAGTAATCTAGATGTTTCTGAAGGAGGTTCACTTGATTTGTTTCCTCTCCACAAATCCTACCAGACCTCCAGCAATTTTTGTTTTAGTATGCTCACAATCCAGAGGCCCAGACTAACGCTTAGTGTACATAGATTCAAATCCCACCACAGCAGCTGATTGAACTTAATTTCCATTAGTAAATCTGGAGTTAAAAGCTAGCCTCAGTAATGATGACTGGGTAAACTGTACCTCCCCAAGACCCAAAATTTTAAAAAAACATCAGCACTCCCTCTCCCTAAACCCCAAACCTATGAACCTCCTGCTTCTCAGACCTGAGCCCTTTCCCCGCTCCATATCCTTTTGCCCCTACCTGGACCTAACTACCACCCTCCTTCTCAACTGTGCGCTGCCGAACCCAATATTCCACCCACTCACCTTGACTTAAACAATCCACTCATCTGGAATTCGAGACTGAGAGAGATAAATTCTTGATCAGTCGGGGAATCGAGGGTTACAGGGAAAGGGCAGGAAATGGACATTAGGAATGTCCGATCAACTGTGGTTTTATTGAATGGTGGAGCAGGGTCCGGGCAAACAGCCTACTCCTGTTCCCATTTCTTATGATCTTAACCTACCTTCACGGCACGCTAACCTCACAATAAGTTCACATAGCAGGAGAGTATCGTCAAGGAGAGTATCTGCGATGCCAAACATTTCTAAAAAAAAAACTTGAGAATACAACTGTGGGAAAGGGAGCCTACCCACACATACCCCCCTCCCCCGACTGTCCACCCCACACCCACTGTCCACCCCACAGCCCCTCCTCCACTGTCCTACCACCACACCCACTGTCCACCCCACAGCCCCTCCTCCACTGTCCACCCCACAGCCCCTCCTCCACTGTGCTACCATCACACCCACTGTCCATCCCACACTGTCCTACCACCACACCCACTGTCCTACCCCGACACTCACTGTCCACCCCACAACCCCTCCTCCACTGTCCTACACCCACACCCACTGACCACTCCACCCCCCTACCTCCCCCACCACTGTCGGGCCTACTCTAACAGGCCCCTGTCAGAATGGAAGTGTGGCTCCCGAATTTCTGAAACGGCCCTAATCGGAATCTCTTATCGGGAAAAGTGCAACTCTCTGGTTTTTATGGTTAAAAAGAAGCCGAGCTGCAACTACTTCCAGACTGACTAAATATTTCCAGCGTTTTCTGTTTGAGTTCAGTTTTTCCAGCCTCCCACTGGATTTTCTTTCCCCTTGGCCTCCCTCATGCACCTTGAGCACCGTTAGCCTTTCGTTCCTCAGAAAAAGAGAGCCCCAGTGACCGATTAGTCCCTTACATAACCCATAAAGCCAGTGACCGACGGTTGGATCCCAGTCTTTCTTCCCATCTTTACATCCACAAGAGTGACTAAAATATCCCACTTAATACTTACCGGGAAACGCTGTTTCATCCCAACGTAGCGCCACCCATCGCCACTGCTTGACCGTGGGTCTTCCCAACACAGCGCCACAATAGACACTGGTCCTCCCAGCACAGCGACACAACAGACTACTGGTCCTCCTAGAGCAACGCCACCAGACAGTGGTCCTCCCATTGCAGCGCCACCGATCGCCACTGCCTGATTTCAGTCCTCCCAGCGCAGCGCCAACCCTCACCACCGCCTGACCGCTCTCCAAGCACGCCATTGTGCTGCTTTGCAACAGCGTGACCACCCCTAACGGCCCATTCTGTACTGCTGCTCTCTATGATAAACAAATTTCGTACGAAAATTTATTTTTAAAAATAGAATCGGAACTCAGAATTGGAGGTTCCTTGTGGAATTCATAAGGTGTGGCATTGGCAAAACTCGACTCGACATCAGTGTCAGAGTGACTTGATCACATTTTCAAAAATAAATTGAAAAGGATTGGGAAAGTGGGTCTATGATGAATGACATAGTAGATAACCAATATCAGGCATCAAAATGAGCTGTTGAGAATCATAGGATTAAATTATTTTAGGAGACTAAATTATAGCACAGTTCCCAAACACCACTCCTGCCTTTAGTATTGCAAAGGCTATGGCCCCATTTGGAGCAACTTCCCCATCTATCTGAACACGCTATTTTGTACACGAAACGCACTATGAGGTGGAGGCTTTTTGGCAGTGATACTGAGTGGGCGGGAGGTTCCCCAGTGACATTACCAGTAGCTATCATGTCCCCAAAATGTTTAGCAGGGCAAGTTAATACATTTTCATGTACCACAATAACCAATTTACCAAGAGGTTAGATGATGGGGAGACAGTGTCTTGTATACGTGCTGTCAGTGCCCAAAATCATGTCAGTGTTAGAACAGTGACACAGTGTCTGTTCACACCAAACTGCTATTAAACTTGCAAACCTTGGTTAATATGTGCTGCTTTTGTGATTTTAAAGCCTGGAGATGAATCTCATCAGTCATTCACAATTTCACCCAGCCCACCGTAGAATTCAGAGAATGTGTCACTAAACTCTACACATTTGTGTGTGACATTTTATTTCAATTGCAGCCAATTATCAGCTGCATGCTTATGGATATCTAGTATTTCAACAATCGACTTACTTCGGGCACTGATGAAGAGTCATCTAGACTCAAAACGTTAGCTTGCTTTCTCTCCATGGACGCTGCCTGACTTGCTGTGAACGCCAGCATTTTGTGTTTCTAGTACACATTCCAGCATCTGCAGTAATTTTGCTCTTACTTCTGATGAAGTTCTCACCTTCCCTATGGTTCTGACACCAGTCCCAAAGGAACACAAAATCAGTTGTAATATATTCCACATTTAACCACTGCTTTGCCTAAAGTTAGCACAATCTTTCATTTTTATACTCCATACTTTTTAAACAAAGCAGAGAGTTCATGTTCTTCTTCCGACTTCATCAGGTTGTCTTCTACTTATATTTTTCTTCAAAAGAAAACATTTAATTCTCTTAAATCTTTATTACTCTTGCTCTTCCAATGTTTTGCCATTTAGCATATTCAAGGATGGAAAGAAATAGAATTAACATTTTAGGTCCATGGCCTGCTGAAAAGTCAATGGGAAACTCTTGTTTCTTTCTCAACATATGCTGCTCGAGATATGTCATGGCATCAGACAGTGCACAAACCTCCAAACTACTCACCTATGAAACCCTCCAAGCATTACCTGTCCTGCATACAGTAGTCTTCAGACCGTGTCTTGCACTTAATCTCAGGACTCACTGAATGAAAGTGAAAGCAAATCAACTTTGATACTGAGGAATTGCCTAACACTAAAGATATGACACAAGGTGGTATTTCGGCCTCAACCTTTCATTATGCTATCAAACAACCTCTTGGCAGGATATTCCAAACCCGGTCACCAGGTGAGGCAAGTGTGGCAGCCCTTGACATCAAGGCTGCATTAAGGAGCCTGAGCAAAATTGGAATCAATAGTTATCAGGGGGCAAACTCTCTGCTGGTTGGAGTCATACCTGGCACACAACGATGGGTCAGTTATCTCAGCTCCAGGACATCTCTGCAGGATTTGTGGGGTTTAGCACACAAAAATCACTAGAAGCTACTCTTTTAAAAAAAAAGTCAATCAACATCTAATGGAATGTTATTCCAACACACTTAAGGGAAGGAACAGAAAGACGAGAAAGTTACACTTCAGTTATTATACAGTCTTGCTCAGAGTTCATCATTAGGAGTACAAAGTTCAGCTTAGAAAGGTTTATACAGAACTTGAAGCAGATACAGCAAAATGAAGGAATTTAAGGGGGTTAAAATATGAGGACTTATTGCATAAATTTGGTTTGTATTCCTGGAGATGAGAAAGTTGAGAGATGACTAAGGCAGACATATTTGAAATAGATTAGGAAATAAGATAGATACCAAGAAATGGAAAAAAGGGACTGTAACCTTACAATGAAAGCAAGGCTAGAAATGAAATCAGGAAAGACTCTTTCTACCTAAGGAACAAAAACAAAGTTGCTGGAAAAGCTCAGCAGGTCTGGCAGCATGCGAGGTTAAAAAAAAAAGTTAACTTTTCTGGTCCGATCACCCTTCCTCAGAACCAGTCACCGGACCCGAAATGTTAACTGTTTTTTTTACTTCACAGATGCTGCCAGACCTGCTGAGCTTTTCCAGCAACTTTGTTTTTGTTCCTGATTTACAGCATCCACAGTTCTTTTGGTCTTTCTACTTAAGGACTACTGGAAAACTAAACCTCAATTCCTCTCCCACCCTCTAAAGCCTATGAATGCTGTAACTAATTTTCAAAAGACTGATTAACCTAATCAAATTGTATTTATCAAGGGATATATATAAACAGTAACAAAAAAAAAAAGGGTAAATGGAACAGAGGCCTAGGTTAGGCATATTCTAACTGAATGGAAGAGATTTAAGGGGCTGAATTACATCCTCCCATTCATTCTCCCTTCACTCATCCTAGTACAGTATTAGCTGTCAACCTCACTATCCCCCTACCCTGTGACACCTGTCAGCCTTGACCACTATATTCTTCCCAACACAGAACCTTCAAGCGCAGAGTTATGTTCCATCCCCAGTGCAGAAGCTGTCTTTGCCCGCCTGCTCCTTTGAAGTCAGTGCTGACCACTGCCTTGCTCCCCCAGCAAAGAGTTTGGCTCCTGTGCACTTCAGTTAATCCAGTGTGTTCCTCTCAGCAAAACAGCAAGCATGTTGTGTAACAACCTGTAACACGCACCCAGTGTTCTTTCCATCACATGAACATCTATCATGACTGTGGATCCAGACTACAATATGCATACAAATGTTCAAGTTGTTATGGCAACATGGATTCTGAATGAACTTTAACACAGCACCAAAATAGTATCACTATAAAAAACAATATAATGGCTTTTACTCTCAAGTCTCCATGCGCTCTACCTTTATTCTGACCATTTACTACATTGGTCAGTGATTCTTTGCACATTAATCTGTCAAGTAGGAACGCCACCGCTACCTTCCCAACCACTATGTTAATTAGAATTAGGTTTTATCATTAATAAAATATCATTAATAAAAACAAATAATTAGAGGAAGGCTCTCATGCATGTTTTGCTGTCAAAAATCAGTTATAAAATGCATAACAATGGCTAACTCAAGAACTGATCAGAATACAATGTAAAGCTTCCACGAGGTAAGGATGCTTTATTTCTCCACTATCTTTTACATCTCATCACAAAAAACACATTGGTGTTTTTGTCCCAAAACTTTGCTGTGAGGCAATCTTAATAGTGCATTCAACTGTGAAACACATCTTGATGGTAAAGTAACTGCTTTCCAACTGACATTTTCTCTTAAAACATTTGTACCAGAAAAAATACAGAGGAGAGATAAGTAAACGGTGCTGTACTTCAAAATGGTAATTTCTCACTGGATTTAAATGATCATCAGCAAGAATGTCCAGTTGTACAAAGTTAAGGCAGAAACAAAAATGTTGCTTTCATTTAACACAAAAACCTTACGTGCACACCCTCCTTATAAAGCAACTCTTCAGCGATACAGGAGTAAATCATTGTCCCTTCCTTTTAAGGAAAAGGATGTGGGTGTTTGGCAAGATAATGTAAACTTTAAAATCTCAATTAAGTGTTATTAACTCATCAGAAAAGAATAAAAGGAAACATTAGTAAAAAAAGACATTTTTACCATTAAATGTCTTACGTAGCCGATATGACATTGTCTTGTGCATAAATAACTTAGGTCAGTACAGTATCAAGGCAGTATTGATGCAAGATTTAAAGCCTTTGTTTGTACAAGTTGCACCAACAGATGTCTCAGAATAAATTAAAAAGATTTAACAACTGTTGTTGTGACCTTCTATCACAGGAAACAAGTGATATACAACCTGCTAACTTTAATGTGGTAATCAACAGAGTAGCTGGCAATATTATCTAAAGTTACTATTGTGACAATCAGCAGCAGGTCATTGACTTCAACTTTTGACCTTTGCCCTGGTGAGAAAAATACATAAGTATAAAGGACACAAAATTCAGAAGGAATAAACTGTTCTTTCACAAATATGTCTGAATAAGCTGAAATGGGCATTATAGAATAATGTCCTGATGTTGTATGATATTAATTATCATGGCTTACATTAGGACTAGAAACCTTTCACTCAAATGTTTACTCAGAAATCCCAACAATGACATTGGCAGTGGCTAGTTGTCAAACTAGTGTACATTACAAACTCAGCAAATTTACAAGTAACTAGTGTCAGCCAGTAAATTAGAAATCTTAATCTTGCAAATATAAATGTAATGGTCATCTCTTTCACCATGAGCCAAACTCTATCTGCAGAGCATGTAAACAAGATAACATCAAAGTCCCAACGTGTTCAGGAATTCCAAGCACCTGAACGTGGCTGCAAGGAGGAATCAACTGTAATCAGCATCATAAAGACAAATGTCCACATACAATATGTCAATGCTTCAAAGCTGTAGGCAATTAGTAGTATTCACATTTCATCATTTAGACCGTAGTCCTCTTCTGGATAATCTCCCACCGTTACAGACTGTGGCTTCACAAATGCACCATACTTGAACTGACATTGAAAATACCTCTTCCCGTTCACACTGCAGAAGAAACAAAAGCAATTAATGCTGAATTCTCAAGTTCTGTACTAACAAACAACTGAAAGCAATAATGTGCACAGTAGAATGCTCATGTGCAGCAGTGGCAATTTTACTTTCAAAAAGGCTATAGACTTGTTCTGAAATAGCAATTGAATGTCAAAGCAGACTTTACCTGCCATCATGTTTCCCTAAAGGTTCATCATATTTCAGTCCAATCCAATATCCTGGTTTAAAATCTGTTTGACCTGAAAACAGAAAAACTGCAGATGAATCATCAACTGTGTAAGCAGGAGAGACAATGTACAAATTCAGACTGGAATGGTGTTACATAGACCACAAATACACATTAAGCAATGGTGAAATGTGCAAGTGAGGTCTACAACAAGACATCACGGGTCCTGGATGAAGCTGCCTGACTAAAGTGACGTGTGAACCCTTGTTCAAAATTTCTCAACTAGAACAAAGAAATTGAATAAATTTTCTTAAAAATAATATTCTTTAGGATACCTGCAAGTAGTATGCAATATTTAAATCAAAACAAATACCCTAGGGGTTATGATCCAACCAAGGCCCAAGAGGAAAAGCAACAAAGGTCTCCAAAAGTAAGATACACCAATCAGCACAGATTTACAACCATCACTTCTTATACTGAAAATGTTCAAAATTTCTCTCTTGCTAGTGTATGCAACCTCAGAGCTTAGCAACATGTTGTACCACAGAATGTTAAACATAACTAGTCAAAGATAAGAGTGTGGGATGCAACAGACCAAAGCTACACTAAGGCTGTTGCAAGATTGTTGGCAGGCTGCCAAACAATGGTTTTCCCAACATATACAAAACAAACAGGAGTTAGGAGCAGGCTCAAAGTTGCTCCACCATTCAATAATACCATGGCTGATCCAATTGACAACAACTATGATAACCTACCCCTCTGCTTTCCAAGAATTTATCTTTCTCTGGCTTAAAAAATATTCAAAGACTCTGGCTTTTGAGGGAAGGGTTCCAAAACACAAACTTTCAACCCGCACAAAAAAAAAGTAATCACTCAACTCAGTCTTAAATGGATAACCCCTTGTTTTTAAAATAGTGACTCCTAGTTTTAGATTCTTAGACAAGGAGACATTCTTTCCCCAGGCACCATGTCAAGACTACTCAAATTTTATATTCCAATCAAGTTGCCTCTTACACTTCTAAACTCTACTGGATACAAGTTTAGCTTGTCCGATCTTTCCTCTTAAGAGGATCAGTCCAATTCAGGTATTAGTCTGTAAGCCTTTGCTGAACTTCTTCCAATACACTAATATCCTTTCTTAAGTAAGGAGAACACTATACACCATTCTTCAGATGCAGACTCACCATTGCCCTGCATAGCTAAAGCGTAACCTCTCTGCTGTAACTCATAACTGTAAATTTCAATACCTGTCTTAAGTTCACCAAATGACTGAGCTTTTACTCCTACCTGGAGTGGTGAATTCCAAAGTTTCACCATCCTCTCAGTGAAGACATTCCTCGTCATCTCAGTCCTAAATAGCTTGCACTTTATTATGAAATTCTGACCGTGGCTCTAGAATCCACAGCCAGGGGAAACACATGGAATTATCGCTTTAAGATGAGCCATGTTCACATACTTATTATAAATATTTATTACTGGCAGAAGCCATATATACACTTGGTTTTTTTTTGGCGGGGGGTGATGGGGTGTTGGTTAGCTCAGTTGGCTGGTCAGCTGGTTCGTTAGCACAGTAATGCTAACAGTGTTGATTCAATTCCAGTACTGGCTGAGGTCACCACAATGGTTCATGCCTTCTCAAACTTCCCCTTCACATGAGTCAAGGTGACCTTGGGGTTAAGCTCACAACCAGCTGTTTCCCTCTAATAAAAGAACAGCCCAATGGAACTATGACAACTTTACCTTTGGATGCACTTGTTATTTTTGGTTGTTTAATAATTTGCACTTAACTCAGTGTACAAATAACTGTCTCAATTCAAAAGATTGAATTGCTTTTGTGGATTACAGCCCACACTGCAGCTCCAAATATAAGGCAGTTTTCTCTTCTTTAAAATGTTAACCATTGTGGGTTCTACCGCCAAGTCACAACCAACTTACCCACATACATTACGGTGCCCCGTTTGGATGGTTGTCCCGAGATTACAACTTCACATCTTGCACCAACTAGAATGGCATCAGCCAAAGCTTTTTCTTCTTGTACTCTCCGTTCAAGTTCAATCTGATTTTTTGCCTTCTGCTCCTCATTATACAAGCCCAATTTACTGCGTTTCAGGAACAAACGCATTGAATCTAAAATAGAAACCAGTTAAATTGTTTGGTTACAAACTGCCAGAAGTTTTTCAGAACTCCATCAGGCTTCGAGAATGTGCACAAGAGGCGGTTTGACAATTTCATACACAAGTTACCTGAACAACTGGACTCTGGAGGGGGGAAATAAAAAAAACTTGAAATCTTTCTGATGTGTCAGAGACCAAACTTCACCCATCAGTTCTCAACAAAACTACCTTAGTACTTTTTCCATCGTGCATCCACTAACTCCTCCTCCCCCACAAAAGCTGAAGGATACAAGTTCATCCTGTTTCAAAACTAAAATATTTGATTTTTCCTTAGAGGTGTAGATTTTATTCTGTGATTATCGCCTGTTAAAAGTGGAAATTAGAAACTGCATATGTAACTCTGAGGAAAGCAGGCCAGACTGTTGGACCCAAGGGTTAATCAGATACAGGAACAGTACGATGAGACTGTATTTTGTCCATGTTCCTATTTGCTCATCAAATGCTACTTATCAACAATATGCTGCCATCTTTCCAGTGTACAACTTGGGCATGGCCATTTAGCCAAGCTGGGGCCCATGCTCTTAATTCCCTTTTGCATTGCTACCATCTAAACTGGGAGGTTAATAGGACCTCCATGAGAATCAGTTCTCTCAAAGCTTTGCATTTAGAAAGAGATTAGTAAATATCAATGTTTGTACAGGAAAATCTGGTAACAATTGAGTGAGATGTGCTGTTAAAATGAAGTACAAATTAAAATAAAGAGTAAAAACTACATTCAGAAATATTTTTTAGCCTCAGCAAATGCAATCTATCAGTGGAATGCTTGCACTACCACAGAGATCTGGAGGATTTCCCTCAGGCCACATTTCAGGTGCATATTCCAAACATTTAAGGATTCACTGCTCCATGCTATCCAAGCTGTAACTTAAGATTATTTGTGTTATAGAATAATTTGTCCAAGGTAGCTGCCTTGTTCAGAAAGTGCAGAGAAAATGTTAGGAAGAAACTGGAATTGTAGAAAGGTTTTTTTCTCATTTATTCATCCATGGAATATGGGCGTCACCAACTGGGCCAGCATTTGTCACCCATCCTTACTTGTCAGTGAGAAAGTGGTAGTGAACTGCCTTCTTGAATCACTGCAGTCCATTTAGTGTTGACACATCCAAAATGATCTTAAGGAGGGAGTGCCAGAATTTTGATCCATTGACAGTGAAGGATCGGTGATATATTCTAAGTCAGGGTGGTGAGTGTCTTCAAGAGGGACTTGCAGATGCTGTTGCCCTGGTCCTTCCTGACATTAGTGGTTTGAAAGGTGCTGTCTAAGAAGTTCTAGCGAATTTCTGCAGTGCATCTTGTAGATGGTTATGCTGCTGTTACCAACCATTCTTGGAGGAGGGTCAGAGTATTTGTGAATGGTGCCAATCAAGTCAGCTGTTTTGTCCAGGATAGTGGAAACTTCTGTGAAATACCCTAGTCATACATACACATATTGGATTAGATTTTGGTTTAGCTTCTCACAACTGACTTTTATTTTTCACAATCTTTTTACTCATTAATTGCTTGTGAACTTGTAGTTAGAAATAATGAAATGGTTAAAAGTTGCTTGCACCCAGGTTTCACCGTACGATTTAACGTGGAGGGTACACAGTTTAGCTGACAGTGCTGTTTAACTTCTGCTGAAAATGAAGGCTGTGGGATTTATGTTTGACAAAAATTTGTCACAACATCACACAACAGTACAGGGCTGAGACAGCAACAAGGAGTTGGACAATGGGACAAGATGGTGGGCTGATCTGTGTTCAGTGTTTTAAGGGACCTTGCTCATACCTCATTTCACTCACTCACAGTAAGTACCTCCAAGACGACCTTGAGCTTTCATTCACAATTTACAAATAGACAAGTTCAGAAGGATCAATGAAGGTTACATCTTTACCCAGAGGGATAATATAGTTTTATTTCTCATTACGTGTACTGCTTAGAGACATCACATATCAAAGATGGGGTCAAAGACATTAAAAGGAAAAGTAAGTTACAAACCAGATTTGATGTTGCACTCAGCCCTACAATTCCCTTAAAATACATCACTTCAGGTGTTGCCTGCACATTTCCCAGTACCTAATTTAAAAGCAGTCTTATAGCCATTTCTTTGCCTAACTATTCCATTTACAAAAACACTTCTATGTATCATAGAATGCAGTCTTAATAGTTCATGATGAAGTAGAAGCATGCAAGAAATATCAAAATTAGCCAGTGCATAAGATTGCTCTCAATCATCTTACCTGTTCTCTTATCATACGCTTCATTGGACATTTCATACTTTATAACTTTAGACACATCTTCAAACTCTCCAATGTTCACTCCACTTTGGTCTATTACCTACAAAAACAAATATTTGAAATAATAACCCCATTAAGATGGTAATAATTGACTGCAAAGTCTTCACGTAGTAAAGACAGACTAATAGTCTGCCCCAGATGCCCAAACTAAATCTCATCAAGCATACTGCACTGAAACATTCCTCCCTGAAGATTTCTGTCTGAACTCAGCTTGTTCATACAGTATTTTTGATGATTTAAAAAGCTTTGCTAAATTACCAATGTAGGATTACTAATAATGGTACATCTTTAAATTAATATTAAATTCTTGTCCATCAGCTCAGTAGCAGTGAGGTGAAATGAATTCACCCCATTGTAGCAATTCCACACCATCCAAAACACTGTGGTAACACTTTCAAAAACGTTCATCTGATTAATTCTTTCAAATTCTAAGTAGTAAAATTTCTTGTAATGAAAACTAACAAAAAAAATCGGTCTAAACTTTTTCATTCAACATAATCACAAGCTGAAGAATACATTTGTGCTATTTTAGTGACACTACAAAGAAAATTAGTCTATAAATCTCCAAAAAGAGGAATTTAGGGCCACAAGTTGATAATATGCACAGGTTACTAACCTATTCATCAGTTTTATTTTGTATTTTCAGCTTTTATCTAAACATCTGGTGAAATAATATTAGGAAAAGAACATGTTTGAAATAAGTGACTAGGTGTGTAAATGAGGATACTGCAGTTGATTTAATCAACACTGACTTCAAAAAGGCTATCTAGGTCTCTCATTGCAGACTGGTTAAAAAGCAAAAACCCACTGGATCCAGGCAACTTGGAAAATTGGATCCAAAAATTGGCTTAGTGGCAGAGGGTGATGGTCAAAGGGTGTTTTTGAGACTGGTCACCTGTGTTCAGGATTCAGTGTTGGGTCCCTTGCTATTTGGAGCATACAATGATAGACATTAATGTAAAAGGCAACATCAGCAAGCTCGTGGATGATATGAGAAGTGGTGGTATAGTAAATAGCAAGGAAGTAAGCCTTCGGCTAAACAGTGGCAAATGGAATTTAATCCTGAAAAAAAAGAGAGGTGATGCTTTTTGGGAGGACAAAAAAGTCAAGACATAGTGAATGTTAGGACCCTAGGAAGTACACAGGACCTTGGTGTGCATGCCCATAGATTCTTGAAGGCAGGCAGGCAGATAGGGTGTTTAAGGAGGCAAATGGTGTACCCCAGCCTTTATTAGTCAAGTTACCAAATACTAGAGCAAGATTATTATATTGAAGCTGTATAGAACGTTAGCTAGGCTACAGCTTTTGTATTGTGCGCAGTTCCGGTCACTACATTATATGAATGACGTGAATGCACAAAGCACGCGACAGAAATCACTCGGATATAGCCTCGGCTGAAGAAATTCAGTTATGAAGAAAGACTAGATGGATGGAGGAGTTATCTTCCTTACACCTTTGCTGGGGGGGAAGCTGCGCTTGGCCCACATTCCCACAAATATTTCTTATTCATGAACTTATCCAAATACATCTTTTAAATGTTATAACTACCCACACTACCACTTCCTCTCGAAGTTCATTCCATATATGAACCACTGAGAAAAATTGCTCTCACTTGTTTTAAAACACTCATCTTAAAAATACACCCCCTAGTCTTGAAATCCGCCCCCTCTAGTGAAAAGACACATTCACTTTATCTATTCCCCTCATGATTTTATAAACCTATAAAGATCATCTCTCAACCTCCTATGGTCCAGTGAAAAGTACCAGCCCGTCAGCCTCTCCTTATTAACTCAAAACATGCATTCCTAGTAACATCCTGGTAAATCTTTTCTGAACCCTTTCCAGCTTAATAACATTCTTCCTAGAGCAGGGTGACCAGAACAGACAGAATACTCCAAAAGAGGCTTCACCAAATACTGTACAACCCAAAATGACATCCCAACTTTTATACTCAAGAAGGTCTGAGCAATGAAGGCAAGTGTGCTAAATGCCTTCTTAACCACTCTGTTTACATGTGATGCAAACTTCAAAGAATTATGTACCTGAACCCCCAGGTCGCTCTTCTACCACACAACCCAAGGCCCTACCATTAATTGTTTAAGTCCTATCCTCGTTTGTTTTACCTAAATGCAATACTCGCATTTATCCAAATTAAACTCCATCTGCCACTCCTCAGCCCATTGACCCAATTGATCAAGACCTCTTTGTAATTAGCTAATCTTAAATATTTTCTTCAATGTCTACTATATCACCAATTTTGATGTCATAAGTGTACAAAGTTTTGAGAAGCATAGGTAGGGTATGCAAGGAAAAACACCTCCACTTAATAGACAGAAAATAAACAGGGGGCACAATTTTAAAGGGAAGGAGCAGAAAGGTTAGAGGGGATTTGAGGAAAACTTGTGTAGAGGGTGGTAAGTATCTGGAACTCGCTGTCTAAAAGGTGGTAATATGTGGGAACCTTGATGACATTTAAGCAGTATTTAGATGAGTACTTAAAATGCCATAGTGTACAAGACTACAGGCCAAGTGCTGGAAAATAGGATTAGAATAGAAAGATAAGATGCTCTCAGAGGGATGCGAGTTCGTAGAATTCTCTTCCCCAAAAAGCAAGCACAGCAGTGTCATCAAATATTTTAAATAAAAAAGGACAATAGAACAAATACACCCCATATATGGATGGCAGCTTGTGCACACGTGGCTGGGGACCTTTTAAAGCTACTGACAATACGGGGTGTCCCCATCGTATAAGCCACAGCCGGTTTTCGTTCCAGCCGGTGCTGCCAGGATGGTACCCTGGATGTTGGCCCCTTTTTCCAACTTCCCAGTGCCAGATTGGAATTTTAGGTGCCCAACGGTCCTGAATGAATAGTCGCTTCGGCCACAGTTATAGAGCAGATCAGGTTTGGGGTTCATATGTGGGAATGCCCCCTCTCTTGGAGGTGGGGGGACTTGTATGGAGGGGGGAGTCTGTTTGGGACTCCTTAGTTTATTCCTGTCCCTTCTTTCATTCCTCTTGGAATCGTCCAAGGCCTTCTTGTAAGAGGCAGAGAAGAGATGGCCATCCAGAGTTTAGTATTAAAAATTGTCCTAATTTTGTTCTTAATAAAGTGGGAATGTTTTGCTTTGGTACCAGCTTCGTGTTTGTATTGATTTGACCGCATTGGTATTGTGGGACACCTGGGCAAATTCATTCATAACATTCTGGTCGAAGTTGTCTGCAACTTGTTTAAAGAGGGACCAGACAACATTTGGTGTCCCTGGATGGGCTTCAGTTTGAAGTGACCCTTAAGGTACTCCAAACTCGAACTGCCAACCTTGCACAATCAATCTGAGCTGGTTGTTAGAAGGGCAGCTGTTTCACGCGAAGGCCAGTATATAAACTGAATGCGAGGGATGTTGGCACTGACTACAATTTAGCCTTAAACCAGGTACCTAAAACTGTGACAGGCACAGTATGAACCAGGTGTTCTACAGACGGAGCGAGCAAAGCATGAGCTGGAAAAGGGTAATGAGGTCTAGAGGGACTGTGAGGAAGTCAGCCTAGAGGGCAGGCAGATGTTTGCCCTATTGTGTAGAAACTGTAGAGACACTTTGGACCCCTTGAACAAACCAAGGGAGCTTTCATTTTTACCCCCTGTTGTCTCTGTACAGAGGTGTCTGATGGGGTCAGTGTGAGGGGAGCTTTAATTTATTAATTTTCAGAAGAGAAGAAACTTTCCTCTGAATTTTAAACTTTTGTCCCTGTCCTGGAGTATTCAATGAGGCTGGAGCTAAGGGATTTGAATTTTAGTTTACTTGGAGTCTGAATGAGTAGAGGAGAGTTTACTCTGTATTTTGACCCCCCGAATCAAAGGAACTTTATTTTGAGTTCAGGAAAGTTGAGGGACCTTTGAGTTCCAAAGAATCAAGGAAACTTTACTTTTAAGAGAAATCCAGTAAAGAATAAAATGCTTGCTAGCAAAACAGGTCAAGTGCCCCCTTGTCTGACATGGGAGGACAATCTCAGGCAATAACTTTTTGAAAAAAGTGGTTGAAATGAACAGAATTCTGTAGCAGCCTAGCCTGGCCCTGGGCCATGGGTTCCACAGCCCAAGATATATGGCAAGAAACACAAATTATGAAAGGCGGCCACTTAGATAACCACAGCAATAGCAATAGCATGCAGCCTGGAAGACTCCCATAGATGAATAGCTGACATTAGATCACTGCAGGGGAATTAGAAATCACTACAGATGAACTGGAAAAGTTAAAACGTGTTGTTAAAGCGCAGGACACCACGATACAGGAAAATCTGATTCATATGGGACAGTTGCAGTCATATTTGGAAAGAGCCTGTTCTAGAGACAGGGCCATTGAGAACCAGGAGGCAGTCTTAGCATACATTGACAAGTTGGGAGAACAGTGTAGGGAACTCCATGCAGCCATACAGGTTGTCCAAGCCTGCAATGCACATCAAACCCAAGTATGGAGCATTCAAAGTGCCAGGAAAAAAAATACAGTCCCTAGAGAACCAGATCTCCACCCAGAATGGAATAATATGTGCCTTTGGGGTTCTACCTCCCCTGGGAGATAGCAAGAGGTTCTGCACTGATTCACCCACACCCAAGCCACCTCTGCCCCACAGATGGGAAACCCCGCCATCCAGAAGGTCAGTCTGCATAAGCACGGTCCAGACTTCTTATAGACCCCTTCCAATTTGGAGGAATGAAAGAAGGGCCAGGAATACACCAAGGAGTCCCAGACAGACTCCCCCTCCATACAAGTCCCCTACCCCCCAAGACAGGGGTACTCCCACAAATGAACCCCAAACCTGATCTGTGCTATAACTGTGGCCGAAACAGCTATTTCATTCGAACCATTGGAATTTTAGGTGCCCAATCTGGCACTGGGAAGTTTGGAAAAAGGGGCCAACATTCAGGGTATCATCCTGGCAGCAAAATCTGGAACAAAAACAGGCTGTGGCTTATACGATGGGGATGACAGGGACAACTCCGTAATGGCAATAGCTTTAAAATGGTCCCCAGACACGTGTGCACAAGCCGCTACCCACATATGGGGCATATTTGTTCTACTATTCCTTTTGTTTTTATTTTTAAAAGAAGGGAGTTGAGGAATGAGTGACAATTGGAATGATTTGATAATCAAATATTTTAAGGCAGAGGAAGTTGAATTCTTGACCAACAAGCGTGTCAGACATTTTCAGGGGTAGGCAAGAATCAGATCAGCCAGGATCTTTTAAAGTGGCGGAGCCGGTTTTAGAGTCCAATTTTATTTTAATCCATTCATTCATTCACAGGATGAGGGTGTTGCTGGCAGCCAACATTTATTGCCCATCCCTAATTGCCCAGAGGACAGTTGAGACAACCACATTGCTGTGGTTGTCACATGTAGGCCAGACCAGGTAAGGATGGCAGATCCTTCCCCAAGGACATTAGTGAACCAGATGGGTTTTTCCAACAATTGACAATGGATTCATGGTCATCATTAGGCTCTTAATTCCAGCCTTGTTTTTAAATTGAATTCAAATTCTGCCATCTGCTGTGGTGGGATTCAAACCCAGGTCCCCAGAACATTATCTGGGTCTATGGATTAACAGTCCAGCAACAATACCACTAGGCCATCACCTCCCCTAGAGAAGGCTTACTAATTTGTATTTTCCTGACAAGCTTCAAATACAGCCATGAATATAAACACCCATTTTTCATGCTTTATGTTCAATAGGAGAGCAAGCTTAATTCCAGAGCATTGGTTTAAATCTGTACAATGCCAGCCTTGTTAAATTGAAGCAGTGATAATGGAGGCAACAGGGACCACACAGACTATAAATTATGTCAAGGGAATTACAAAGAAAGGAATATTAAGTGGAAGATCAAAAAGGAGAACACTAGTGAAATTTACAATATTTTCGCTATAACTTTAACAGTTGGGAACGTCAGATAAAATGATATGATTGAACAAAATTGCGATACTCACATGTATCCGGCAGCGGTCATCAACAGGATAGGAACCAAGGAGTGCATCATCTTGGTCTAGTAAGCCAATGAATTTGTCATCTGGGCTGAACAGCTGCAGTTCCATGCAGGAAGCTGGAGATCCCACAATCAATTCCAGTTTGCACTAGTATAAATGTGAACACCAAGGTTTTAAACACAGCTTAATCACAACATATCTGGTCTGAACAGAAACTGGACACTGGGTTTGAAAAGATATAGTAGGAACTGCAGATGCTGGAGAATCTGAGATAACAAGGTGTAGAGCTGGATGAACACAGCAGGCCAAGCAGCATCAGA